TCAATAACATATATAAGCCAAACACTGACACTTCTACGTGCGTGCAGCGAGCTATATTGTAGAATCGAGATTAAATATATTTCGGCCGAGGCGTAAACTGTCGAGAAAATTCCTGTCCACCTCGCGTGGTATGCCATTGAAGTTTGTGTTGCCCTCAGGACAGCTTTTGTATTATCTTGCATACTAATTTTCCAGTTTGAAGCGGTTTAATTGTTTTGCAAATATTTTTTTTTAAATAGGGATTATTTTTGAAGCGCTTGAAACGCTAAAATTGGAAATGAAATCTATTTAATCCTGAAAAAACTTGAGTCAAAATAAAAAACTTTTCTGGATTATTTTGCAGCCTCTATTTTTCTAAAAAAGTCAGATGCGAAAAAACATAGAAACAACAAAAGAAGTGGCTTAATATGAAATGAAATTTAACCGGTTTCAGTCGATTTGTACTTACCGTATCTAAGGCACTATTTTTTTGTATTGTTCGGAATGGTTCGAAAGTATTTTTTTCCAACACCTAATATTAGTGGATGAAAATTTCCTTAATCACTAGTGAATAAAATAACAAGTTTTTTATTTTAAGCAAAATTTTATTGTAAATCTATCGCAAGAGCTAAATATAATTAATTAATCTAATAGTTATTTTCGTTTTGACAGAACATGCTGGTTCTGATACATTGACATTTTTTTCCAATTTAAATATATTGGCGATTTACTGACGTAGTTAGCACTGGATTTTGCTTCTTTTGATTCGACACGTTAGCTCAAAATTTTGCTGAATAAATTCTACCCAAAATGTGCAAAATATGATGAGTTTTTACTTGTGATTAATCATTACGTTCATATTGATCAAATTAAGAACGAGTCACCCCATTTTCCCGAAAATGTGAAAATACAAACGTTTTTATTTAATAAGAATTATAATAATGATATTCGGGACATTTTGTAGCTTACTACTTAATAGTTTTGATCATCTGTTTTGAGGAGACGAACTCATTCAAATTAAACTAACTTCTACGTGACATTCTTCCAATGTATATATTCATATTTTCTCTATACTTCATAATCCCTAGACAAGGCCGTAGCTAGGGGGAGGCTAAAGGATACTGAGCCTCCCCTAGATCTAGACAAGTTATAATTAACCAAATGTGAAGTATAACATCAAAAATCAAAATAAAATATAGTATTTTATTCAATAAGCGGAAGTCAGAACAATAAAAAAGTCTGGACCGTCGACATTGTAATCCGGTTTTTGCAGTTCGAAGAAAATATCTTTCAGTTTAGTTTTTGTTTCACTCTCACGTCTACAGGTTGATAAGTGTTATCGCTATTTGTCTTAAGTTACGAGTACCATAAATGATTTTCAATTCAGTCTTCAGTTGCATCCCTGTTATTACATACGGCAGACGTCATTAAATTGTTTCGTTATTTTATTACAAAAATGTGGATGACATCAACACAAAATTTTGTAACAGAAAACTCACTTGTAACAAACGGTTAGCACGTTTGTTTACCTTTACTCAAACATTAGATACATATTTTTATTTTAGCTTATAATGATTGCCATAAAAAATAATAAAATTCGCAAAATCAAATCTTTTCATTTTTCGGAAGAGCTGGCTTTGACAAGCTGTACTTTATTGGCGAGGGAAGTTCTGTCGAAGTAATCTTCGACCAATTTCTTTAACAATGTGAAACTTTTCCGGGGGTCTTAGCTGTCTTTTTTAAAATTCTTAAACCCTCTCCGGGCGCCTAATGTCCTTTTTTTTTAATGTGAAATCTTATCGGGAGTCTCAAAGGTTTTTCTTCAATGTGAAACCTTCTCGGGGGTCCCAACTGTCTTTTTTAAAAATCTAAAACCTTATCGGGGGCGCCAAATGTATTTTTTAAGAATGTGAAACATTCTAGGGGGTCCCAACTGTCTTTTAAAAATGTAAAACCTTCTTGGGAGACCCAAATATATTTTTTTTAAGAATGTGAAACCTTCTCTGGGGCTTCAAATGCTTTTTTTTTCAATGTGAAACCTCTTCGGGAGTCCCAACTGTCTTTATTTAAGAATGTGAAACCTTCTCGGGGGAGCCAAATGAATTTTTTTATGAATGTGAAACCTCAGGGATCATAACTGTCTTGTTTTAAAATGTAAAATCTTCTCGGGGCTCCCAAATATATTTTTTTAAGAGGGTGAAACCTTCTTTTTTTCTATTACACTGTGGCTAGGACCTCCTATATTGTTCGACCATTTTTTTGTTGTTGAGGAAAGTGAAAATATCAATCGGCTCATAAGTATATTCATTTTTTAGGACATCCTTTGTAAGAAGTAAAAAAACAACATTTCTTGCCAAAATTGTAGATACATAGTTATACTTGAATTAATTCTAAAAGGTGAGGATGCAGAATAACGTTTTTTAGGATAATCCCGATATGCTAAAATAAATACATATAGGGGTGGGTTATTAAACCACGGGTAGGCAAAAAACGATGTTAAAGATTTTTCAAGTGACTATGATTTTGTGATGACGTCAATAAATTTTTCATGGAGATTATATTTAAATTATATTCAATTTGTTATGCATAGTATATATTCCTAGCATTATACGAAAATAGCATAAATCGTGTAATTTAATCGATAAAATGAATAGCTTCATGCATTTCATGGTTTATTTGTGATTAGGTACATGTTTATTAATATCTTTTGAGATGACGTTATTCACTTTTTTCAATTTTAGAATATATTTTTGTTCCAAAATAGCCAATTAATAACTGTTTTCCTTCAGTTCGTAGATGCGTTGGTGGAAACGATGAACACTTTTTTTTACTTCTCAACTGATTATAACAAAGGAAAAGGAAAGATTTCATTTTAGTGATTGTGTAATTTCATGTACTGCTTTTTATATTCTATTACTCTTTCGCATACGTAGTACAGGTTTTTAATTTTTGTGTATTTTAGTGTATCTTGAAGTTTATTAGCGAAAAATTGATGCGTCATTCCGGAATTTTACCAAGTAAGCTTCGCTTGAAATATGGAATAAATATTTTTTTTTCCTATAATTTAATTATCGATTCCTATATATAATAACTTAGCAAAAGCACAATGCTTGCATTCAAAGCGACGAACGTTGTACAATAAAGTTTTGTTGTCTATTTTAAAAACTAAATAACGGACTTCCACATTATCATAAAATACCGACATTAACACAGAAATTATAGAATATTCATATCATCTCCAAAAATGTGATGAATGATGATTGATAAAACTCTAAGATACGGTGCTACTTACTTTTAATAATAGGTATGTCAAGTGTTTAATTAAAAAGTCATCAGTGTTGCTTTGATTTTTCTAAACATCGTGACGTATGTCTACAATAATCTTAAAATTTAATCGATGACGGCTGAAATCGTGAAATACTTACAGCTTAACCTCATTTCGCGGCGTAATAAAACAATAAAAATAAAACTAACGCTTTTCAACAACTCTGTTAAATATCAATTATACACAGCTGTATGGGTTAATAAAGCACATGCGTTTTTCACTACATTTTCTTATATCAAAAAAAAGCAAAGGCAACTTGAAGATTTTTTCATTTGAACGCCCGTTACTTTTAGGATTTAGAATATGTTGTGTGTGAATATGTTCAGCGTTCCTAATACTTTTTTTCTATATTGTATCGTTCACGATGACAGAATTGAAATTTTTATTCAGATGTGTTTTATCGACAAATGTAAATTGCGGCGGACGGAGTAAATCTTGTAATCCCTACATGTAAACTGCGGCGGATCTTTTGCATGACCCGAGAAAGGTCTATGTAAACTGCAGCGGTGTGTAGGTACCCTGTCACAGAACTCGATGCGCTAAGTACTAAAGTATTTAAATATTTACACGGGATTCGTCATTTTTCTAAAAGGACTACGTCGCACATTAGTTAGTACTCATAATGGAAAATAATTACTCAACTCGTATCTGCATGAAGCAACTACTTACACAGTTTTAACACTTTGTATTGATAAAAGTAAGGCATACAATAATTCATAAAAACACTTATTTATAAAGGTCAATATCAAAATAAATATGATCGAATAGTACACGAAATAACGAAAAAATACGTTATTATAGTAACGATATTATATTACCAACCGTTCTTGATGGATCTGCCTCATCATGTTATGATTGCCTCAGATTGTTACTGGATCAGCTGAACCGAGTGGTCGGTCAGGTGAGTTTACACCTAAACTTAATTTTGTGGCACAAATTCCATTCAATTGTTAAAACAACCAAAAAATGGTAACCGTTGTAATCAATTTAATTACTCGAAAATAAAGCTGATATTTAGTCCTACGGCGCTCTTTTTGCTCAAGCGTTCATCTTTACACCTGCACATTTTACTTTATGATCATCCTCCAGAAATCTGTCATGATACGATTTTAAACTAGGTTGTTTATCTGTGTAGTTGGGTAAAGTGGGAACGACCAAGCTTTGATAGAATTGAGTTTATAGATAAAACGAATCTTGTGTGGCAAATGAAATGACAGCTTGAGGAGACGAGCGTGAGTTGATGAAACTTTTTCACTGTTAACAAAAACACTATTGAACAATAGCGGCGAGGAAATCGAAGAAGGTTTTTTCGCCGAATCCCAGCTCAAAGCCCATTTTTCATGGCTGATGCGAGCAACCGGCAACATCGAATAAGCTTTCTTTCATATTTACCAGGATTTAACGTTTTATTTGATACTAACAAATAAGCCTTTTGTGGCGAACGTTTTATCTGTAGAATAGTAAAGAGATTTTCAGACAGCTATGCTTATAATTTTTTAAAATGCCATATATTCAGTAAATTCAAAGAAAATTCTTAAGAAAAAAAAGTCCAAAAAAATTATACGATAAGCGGATTACGAACATCCATTAATATAACATGACATTCTCTGAAAATTTTAACCTGTCCTGAGAATGTTTCTAAATATTCTACTTTTTGGCTATTTTAAATGTATAAACTATTTCGTTTCTTTTACAGGAAAGTTCGATAGTGTTGGTATAGCCACAGGCGTTCCAGACGAAAGCATCGGAAAGATACAAACTCTTCGCCTTCATGTACATAGTGAAAGCGACAACTGGGCCATCCTGAGTGAAGTAAGTGAAATCTTTGAAATTTATTTGCATTAATTTTAATTAAAATCGGAATTAATTATTTACTTACACTGAAAGATAAACTTAATAATCAACCGTTTGTTAAAGAAGTTTATGGAACATGTATACATATACGTACAAAGAGATAGCTTTAATCTCGTTACCATGGGTTTGATCTGTCTCCTGCAAGATGTTACATATTGCGTGCTCCAGTTCAATTTGTTTTAGACTACGTAGAATTATATTAATTCCTTTAATACGTTGTCATCTCAGTTAGAATTTATATTAAACTGTAGTTCATTAGCTCTTTCGAGGTACATATGCCTATACAAACAAGTTTAATTTAATCCATTACTACGACCGGGTATGTGTGTGTATGTATATCTACCTTATCACAACTAAGGTGCTGGAATGATACATTTAGTTTACATAAGCGTAATAAAATGTAAAAATTATTCAACACGTGTGGGTTAAAGGTTAATAAATCTGTCGTTCAAATTCACAGCTCTATGCCATATTTATGAGTAATTTTTTTGCGCAGTTGAAAACCAAATATTGATTTCTTAGAAATGATATGAATCAATTTCAATGGCATTAAAATAAATATAAATATAGATATTAGTGTTAAAAAATACAAAACGGTTTTATCCTCATGATGTGACATGATCGACTTGTTGGAAGACAACGTAAACTAGCGGGTAAAACCATGTGGAATTTGATTTAATAATATTTAATTGAGTTTTGTGTTCCTGACACTTTTAATTTTTCATGGCTGTAGTATAATGTTCATGATGAAAATTGAGAGAAGAACATAATGTGGTCTTTTTTTAATATCTCTGAACACACCGTAATATATGTAGGTAAAGAAATGATAATAATGCAGCTCCTAAAAGCGAAATATAATTTTTTGACAAACCTATAATAGCATTTATCATCAAACAACCTTTAGGGACGTTATTGTATTTTTTGTTAAATTCTCAACTTTTAATTATTGTTAGTTCGATCAAAATTTAAATAGAGCATTTTTGTACACGTATAGGCAACCAAACATTCTTGCTAAACTTTAAATTTATCATCACTAGAGAGCGGATTTTATGAAATTTGCATATCCGTTATTTTTTGCATATAAGTCTTGATATTTAATATGTGAACGAATCATGGTAATTAAAAATGAATACAGCTATAAAAAAATTGCATATTTGCATATATTTGCCTTCTGCTGCATATTTCACGGAACGGGTGCATATTTTGCATTTTTATCAATTTTTGTGCTAATTTGAAAAAAAAAATGATTGTCATTCTATCGGCATTTATCTAGAAAGACGAAATTTTATGAATCATATTGCAAATATTGTCCTGAGCTTCAAATAACTAGAAAAGGTTTGGGTTTTATGGTAGTTTGGAGACACCACTGGGTGTTAAGCCATCCTTCCAGGTAAATTCGCGCCCTAATTACTTTTGGAAATACCCTTCATTCCCATTACTTTGTTCGTTAGTTAAGTGTATTAATGTTACGTTTATTAGTGGTGATCGAAGGGACGTTATACTGTTATTATTTTTCATCGTGAGTTTATTCTGAAAGCATTTAAAGGGATACAAGTGTATCAATATGTCGAAGATAACTCAAATTAATTTATGGATTAAACCTTTTCCTGAACTTACTCTTCAAGAACGAACTGTACTTTGTCGCGCCTGCCCTAAACCGGTAAGTATTTTTACATCTGTGGACGTAGTACGCAGTTTTTCTATTTACAAATACATTTACTTTAGAATCACCGGAAAAATTTTTTGTTAGAATATTTCGAAAAATATCTAAAAATAAATTGTTACCAAAATAGTAATTAAATAGTGGATTACTATTATTTTTTAATATGATCTGTTTATATTTATTTTTTAGTATAAGAATATTTCCTTTAAAAACGTGATTTATGTGTTAGTGAGATGTAATTAAACACTTTGCAATGTGATTTATGTATTTTTTGTAATAAAATGTAAGTTCGGGAAACCTGTTTTTGAATTTTATAAATAAATTTAGTTCGCTTATTAAGCTTTTTTTTTAATTTTTGGAGCATATGCAACTGCATATCTCTGCATATATTAAGAAAGTTACTGCATATTTGCATAAATTTGGTGCATATCATATGATCATATTTCTCAAAATTTTGCTGCATATTTTCCGCTCTTTAATCATCACACTACAACGGGACGGTCCAGTATTTCAAAAATTAAGTGCATTTCAAACCTTTTCCACAATAGACGAAGAAAATATGCAAATTATGAACGTTTTCATCGACATAGAATGCCTGCTTGAAAGTAATGGAATCATAAAATTGTGGTTATAATATTAGCACAAATGTTTGAATCCAACTTCAGAACAACAAATATTAAACAGAGTTTAAATTAAAATTTTTGAAGTGAAAACTTCCTTAGAAACATCGCGCACACTTTTGAAGTGAAAAGTTCGATAGGTTTTTCCGTGGGTAGTAAATAAGTCTGATCCGTCAGGCTTCGGGTTGAAACGTTCATTCGTGTACACGAATGAGTCAGAGAAAGATGCATGGATACAAGGCCGTTGTGTATGTACGGTGGCAAACTGCCAATGAAATGACGCACCTCGCGTCGAAGCGATTAACCTTCAGGTAGCGAAAAAAACTGGTGTGCTTAAGACTCCACAGAAAATATAAAACGCAAAGATCATCGCATTACAAACTCTAAAATTTTGGGAGAACAATAATTATACTTAACGTTAATTCAAGCTTAGTTACTTAAACTGCAACCTAGCCCTCACTAAACGTACTTGAACAAGAATATAATTATACGTGTAACTATTAATTAAAACCTTTAACTGATTTTGTAAAAACCAATGGAATTTAAATAGTTATGTCGAATGACCCAAAGGATAGATAGTACAAAAATTTTTTCAAAAAAAATTATATGAATATGTGGTTTCAAATTTTTGCCAGATGTCTTATTTTTTCTGTTAAATAAAATACAGTAAATCCACCTAGAATTATTATTTTATTATTATGGTCTTTTCTCTGTTTGTCTTTCGTAAATTTTACTATTCATATTGCATCACTTCAAACATAACCTATTATATATAAAAAAAAGAATTTACATATTTTCCCTTCAACGATTTCATAGACCTTGGTATTAAATTAAGTTGATTTTCCACAATCCTTTATTACGTTCGTTACGGTCAGTTGCGAAGCTATAGTCTGTTTTTTTAAGAAAAAAGTATTCTAACAGATCAACGCTACATTCAACAAATCACAACATTCTATTCCATATCACGTGATCAGCCTAGCTCACAAGAGCGAAAGTTGTAGCATCGTTGACATGTTATTTAAAGTTGACCTTTCTCATAATTGTTATATATTGCAATCCACTTTTTCGTCATAATTTGAGTCATAATGACTTAATGTGTTCACAGTAAGTTGCTTCAATACAACTAGATATTGTGTGGTTTGCGAAATAGGCCACATTTTAATTTCACCCTCTGATAGGGGTAATATAAATATATATGTCCACTTACCCCCTCCCCCGTGAACTCGTATGACAAAATTCACAGAACTCCCGTACAATAGAATAGGTAGAATTTAAAAAAATCCTTTCTCAGTGGGTGCTCACATTACAAAGGAACCTACTGTTTAAATTTCATGTTTCTAGCTTCAGTGGTTTAGCTCTGCGTCGATGACTCGGTCAGGACAAACACTTTTATACGTAGGTATAGATTGATGCTAGTATTCTGATTTTTTCGTTCCCTCATTTTAAACGATACAATCCATTTAACAGCAGCAATAAACTTCGACCTCTTGTAATGACTGTGCTTTATTACCTTAACACCAGGTGGTCCATCTGCCCAACCTATTAGAACTGACATATTCTAGTAAAATTGGGTGGATATTTTGAAACGAAAAGTTTTAAATGTGTAAGGGGAAGCCTATTCAGGATACAATATTCCAACTGGGAAAGATGCCAGACCAACACTGACTTTGCAGAGATTATATTTTTACATAATTTTTCAATAGTAGTTATAATCCCCGTGAATTTTTTCAGTTGCTTTATAAATTTGATCCACTTGACCAATATAAAACAAAAATAATATCAATAAGTCAGTTTTATCCTTATGTAAAGACAGTTGTTAGAGCTAAACCAATTTCCTACTGATGCCTTCACCATGCTATTGCTTCTGCATCGCTTAATCATAATATTTTGACTAACGCTAATAGTTGCGTCATCAGCACCTAAAACAACCCTCACATTAATGTATAATAAAAATAGCGTAGATCTCAGGAAGAAGCTTCAAATCACTATATGCATAAATAGGACGTACAAAAAATCATGAACAGCACATAACCTCAGAATTATAGATACATTTAACGAATTGACAACAACACCTTCAGTAATTGTCTGGTGTAAATGCATCGCTAAGGGAAAACCTTTAAATATAAGTCGCATGAATGGTCACATGAAGACGAGCTCTCAAAAATCGGCAGCCTCTAATCACAAAAGTCATTATCACCACAAAATGTGCATATTTATCACGAATAATACTAGCATATTTAATATGAACACCCCTGTATCTCAAATCGCAGCAAAAATGGTGTAAATACATCGCGATACGACAACGGTTGTGGGTATTTCATCGCAATTTAATGAAATTTGTGTAGGACAGAATGACAGCACAGCAACGGAATTGCCAAAACCACAAACCAACATGTAATTAGAAATGAGCCAGGAATTACTTGATAACTGACAAAGGCCGGAAATTTAAAATACTTGCGTTTGTAGTGCGTAACGCTGGAAGGTGTAAAGTATAAACATGTAATAATAGTAAAGCGTTTATGACGCACAAAGTCATCTAGCAGTGAATTTCTTTGCATGAAAAAATAAAAATATTTGACCACATAAAATTTGTTGCAGGTCACATAAAAGTGTAAATTAATTGATTGCGCAAAAATTTAATTGTGTGAGGGTAGCTTTATAATTTATATCTTTAT